ATTACATACTGAATATATGTTAAGTTTCAGAGCGTGGGCTGGGTTATTTCAGGGTACGAGCCCATTGAGACACACCGGTGGTGTGGAATTGACACGGTCACTGTTTGAAAACGGAATCATTCAAAATGAAGCATTCCAATTAAAACATAAAGCATAGTTTAGAATAGTACAGCACGATGCTATACTTATTATCACGTTTCCCACTTAGAAAATCACTGTCAAAACATGCATTCATATTTAATTACTTCCAGACCTGTCATGGTTTCGTCTATCGCCATGATGGGAAATGGGTTTACTTCTGAAAATCTACTTCAATTTCCTTCTTTATACATCTTGTGTTCGCAGTGAGCTAATAAAAATGGCACAATTGAAATGAAAACTTATTACACGTATTAGTAAAAAAAGATATTTAAATGCTGATTTAAAAAATAATGTGTGGCAGTAATTTAGCATTTCTGAAATGTGGTGGTAAGCAAAATTCAAATTATAAATTATGATCTTTCATTATTTTTGTAGGCTGGCTAGTAATAGCAGATGCATGATTGTCACACAACGTACACTGCACGTGTTGCTTACTGAAAATGTTATTTTAATTAATTTATATAAAACGTACTTTTTTAATATGATGAAAACACATTATCCTTCGCTGGGAACATATATGTATATCTCGCAGTTAAGCCCAGATGACAGTGGCTGGTGAAGGTTGAAAAATGTCTGTAACTAATGTTAAAATCCATTAAGAAACATATTAAATGTCCCATAAACACAATTAGAGTATCTGCCTGGGAAAACAAATTGGTGACGTAGATGTCATCACTTTAAATAATTAAATAACCGCCATAGCAAATATCGAAACAAAAAAATTTGTGAAGAAAATATGTGATATGTTATGAAGAGATATGATGAGGGACCATGATGATGGACAAAAGATGCAATGTACAGAACTGTGTAACAAGACATAGAAACAACTGGAAAATAAATGAAGAGAACAGGACGATATTGAAATATAAAAACGTAAAATTACAGCATGAAAGTAGAACAAAAGGAGGTTGATGGTCAGTTGTTCACAAAATGGTAGCCTTTCGGGAAAAACTTGGAACCATCACGCAAGAAACTGAACAATTACAATAGTAGAGGAGATGTAAAATTTCGATTTAAAGCTTTCGTGACTGCAGGGATTCATCTTCTTGGTTCTTTCGGTAAAGTCACGTAGAAGGGAAATAATAAAATAATAAAAATAAAACATAATAAAATACAATTCTCACGACGTTTCGGCCACAACGCAAGCAGCCGTCCTCAGGTGAAGAACAGGTCTGTCGGAAAGACGCTGTCATAGTTTAGAATAGTACAGCACGATGCTATACTTATTATCACGTTTCCAACGTATAAAACAGACAGACCTGTGTACAGAAGACTATAGCAAAACATATCCCAGAAAATCTAACGAGTTTTCAGAATAAAATGGAAAAGGACACCTTCGAAGAACACTGTCTTTAGTAGGATAAGAAATAAAAAAGTTTATACATCACATTTTTTTCCAAATGTAGAAATCAGTCAAAACATGAATTTATGTTAGTACTTACATAGCCTATCATAACAAATTTGATCATCATGGGAAATGTATTTATGTTAGGAACTGTGGACATAAACAAGTGGAACTAGATTTTAGCTGACTGTCTGAGTTGCATTATTATGTCTTTGTATTGACGGGCTGGATGTCCTTCTCGCTCAGTTTACCGATGCTGTGACATACTAGGCAAGTCACCGATGCTGCGACATACTAAGCTCGTGCATTGACATGCTAATCTCTCAATACAATAGCCACTTCCACAGCCTCAGGGAGACCATCTCTAGCCCAGCCCTCTTACCCTGAGGCTGCCCCCATCTCAGGCCTATATAAGACCTTGTTTCAGTAGCTTTCTCTCTTTCACCTGAAGACGGTCGCTTGTGTTGCGATCGAAACGTCGTGATCTATTAATTTTCTATCTACGCGACTTTACCGAAAGAACCAAAGGGTATGGATTAATGCAGTCACGAAAGCTTCAAATCAAGAATGGGACCAGTTGTTGGAACAACATTAGAAAACATTCACCAAAAGGTTTTTTTTTTATATCATTTTCGCAGTTGCCGAATGAAGGCCTCTTCAAGCTGTCGCCATATTTCAGTCTTTCGTCAAAAGTCAATCCATCCAGCACCTGCACTGCAAACTAATTTGATTGCTTCTCCGTTTCCCTTTCTCTGTTCTTCCTTTGGCTTCCATTCTGTCGTTAGTCTCGACAACTTAATTATAACGGATTACATTGAATTTAAATGGGCCCAAGCCTTAGCCCACCTAATTTTATTAACTTGTCTGTTCTCAAACCTACGAGAATGACCCCCATGGACATGCAATGCGATTATATTATTTCGAAAGAACTACAATGATTTTTGGATGAGGCATTAAACCAGCAGTGGATAGAGCATGGATGATGATGATCACACATGTTACTCAAAAAGCATTATTTAATGCAATGAGGCAATTAGTAAATCCTACTAGCTTATAAATGTCAATTCTATTTTAATTGAATATTCATTTTACAAACCTCATGAAAAAGTGATGCCATGTTTTAGTGATGCCATTATTACTGTATGCAAAAATGTGATGAACTTGGAATCACGTGAAAGGCAATATCTACCAGCATTTTATAGACTAAATAACATTGGCTTTATTTAGCCAATAATCAGCGACAAGGTGGTTTTCTAAGACACAAATTTAGGCCATTTACCAGAATAACAGGTTGTGCTAATATTTCACAGTCTGTTTAGCTACAGGAAGCATTTATTTGTGATGCCGAAAACGGTATTGTCACAAAAACATTGCAGAAAGCATTTACAACTACTTAAAACCCTATGAGAAAGAAAAAACTATTTAAAAACAAGTACTGTAGTCTGTAGGACGTTTTAAAAGTCTATTTTGTAAATATTGATTACACTTATGCAAATTTCTTCCTGAAGGTCATCCGGACAAAATATACAGAATTCTTGTGCAAGAAAATATATTTTTTACCCCGAAATATGCATTAATTTAACCAACAACAAAACACGTAATCAAACTTAATCAATGACTAAAATCTTGGAGTCAAGACTATGATATACATTATATAATCTAATCTGGAAGCAGTGTGCCATAGGAGCAGATGGCAGCAGCAGCAGCAGCACCGGTGGGTGATCGAGTCCAACTTGTACTGCTGCCTGCTATCAACCGCGTCGGGAAACCACACGACAATTGGACAGAGATTTGGAGGACCAGTTGATTTTTTTAGGCTTGGGGAATCGCATGTATAACCCTTTAACTTTGACGGAAGGTCCAATTAGCTGCCTGCCCTTTGGGATGGTTGGCAACATTCGGTCAATACATGCACAAAACCCAAGAATGCAAACCCAAGATGTGTGGACTGCAAATAACAATGCATTGCAAACACCTATGTATTACCAATTGAGCTTGTTTTTTTTTCACTGCCCTTAATACTTTTTCAGAAATTTCTTCCAGCAACATATTAAGTACTTTTAATGGAAACAGTGGGAATGAAGGATAGTAATGCGTCCCACAGGGAATAAATGCGCTGTTACAAAAATGTGCTGTTATGAAAATGTACCATGCTGAAATAATACTACATTATGGCAATAATTTAGTCTTTAAAGGTCTCGTGCAAGTTGCAAAAGCTTATCTATAAAAGGCAAAGTTGATGAGTAATGACTTAATGATGGTGCAGAGAATAACTCATTTTCTGGGAAATATAATGGCCATTACAGAAATATGGATGGTACGGTTTTTAGTGGCTCTATTATTTAGTTCACATGAAAGAGATTCCAATATCTTCGAAAAAATGTTTAAAATTGTTTGCACGATAAAAAAAGAATTCGACAGCCACAGCAACCACAAATCCAGAGATTAAACAATTATTTTATCAAAACAGGATCAGAAGTTTATTTATGTGTATATATAATAGTGCTGGATAATTCCTGCATTAATCATAATGCGTCTATGGCTATGACCCACCTTAAAGTCGTTTCATTTAAATGGGAATCTCATTATTAAAACCATTGACCCCCCCAAAAAGATATACATGCAAAATGTTTAGACGATTTTCACTCGTTATGTACCTTAATTTTTGTTTCAGTATGCATTAATTAAAAGCTGCTGTTCAGCTTTATAAATCACGTGAGCTATGTGGCAAGCACTCTTAGAGATCAAGTCGATGTTTAACATACCCACCTGCCATTCATGTAATATGGCCAGGAATCAGACTTAGGTCACGAAGATTTTAGTGCAGTGTGCAAATTACTACATCATCACACCACAATACTGATTTGCAAAGACAAAGTGTGCAGTTGTTTTCTCACAGGCTATATTAAAGTGTAGAATGAGAAGGTGTTACCAACAGTCTTTTCTAGTCTTTGGTTCTTTCGGTAAAGTCACGTAGATAAAAAATAATGAAGTGAATAATAAAAAAAATACGACGTTTCGATCGCAACACAAGCGGTCGTCATCAGGAAAGGCAAACTGTTTATAAAGATTTGAAATGGGCGTAACCCAAGTGTCAACAGCATGGTAGGGGCAGCTAATGTTAAAGTAAGTGATGGTAGTCGCGGGCGACGATGGCGCTGGTGGTGGCTTTCCACCAATCAAAGGGCTGCCAGGTAATAATTGCACCTCGCTTTACACAATCACACTGTTGACGGTGGAGGTTGCTACTGGAGGTGATGGTAGTCGTGGGTAATGATGGTGGTGGGCTTCCACCAATAAAGGGCGATCTAAAATGGAAAAAAAAAATAACTTTTTTCTATATACGTGACTTTACCGCATGAAACAAAGAATATGAATTCCTGCAGTCACGAAAGTTTTAAGTCTAAGTATTTTCTGCCATTACTCATCTAACTTTTGGCATACTTACATGAAAATGAAAAATGACATACATTTTATATAATTTAAGTAAATATTAATAGCATAAGATCAAAAACAGAATCTTAAAGCAGACAGTTTATTTAGGAAAAACAAAATGCTGTTCAAATCACAAGGTACAATTATGACTGAAAATCAATAGATTAGCTCTGCAAATTTAATTTGATGTTGTTTTTGTTCTCTATAAAATATGCTATAGTCCATTTTTTTATCATATGTAAATATTTGAAATTGTAAATTATATGTATATATTTTAGCATTTTTTTACAATCAATTTTACACTTGTAGTTTTTATGCAAAGTCAATGAAGAAACATTGGTGTATTCTCAATAATGTACCAACATACACTATGGTTGAATCATTGTAATTTTTAACATCATCATATCAAAATGTCTAAAAGTAATTCCAAAAACAAGGGCAAATAATATATATTTTTAATACCATTAAGATTAAAGTAACAACTAGGCTAACAAGACAATGTTCAAGGCCAGTTCAAACAACCTAATTCTAAAACACCAACAAACAAATTATAACATCAATAACATCAAAACAAGACCTTATCGTATCTACAATGCCCTATGTCACCCATATTTAACCTAAATAAATGTAACAAAATCGTTAACTTTAAAAGCATGTTTAATAATTAAATGTAACATCATTTATATTGTAAAAATCACTCGTTTTTGTTGGTACATTCTTTACAGGCTATATATAATTTTCATGGGAGTGCAACGCTGGCAAGAGCCAGATATATGAGATGGAAACAAATTAACTATCTTAAATCACAATTGTGAGCAATTGTTAATGTAAAATAAAGCACAATATTTCATGGTGCTTGGTTGTAACGAGTTAAAACTCGTGAATTTAACGGACATCTCAACATACCTTTACATGATATCGAGGGTGAAAAGACCCACATGTACTGAAATAAACATTGTGGTATAAATATAAATAGATGGGTTAGAGCTAACCTATTGTGGTGGCATATTATTTTCAATCAAGAGTCATCATTTGTTCTGTCTCTGCATAATTGACATACAGACTTGCTCTGTTCAATTATTGTTAAACATTCTGCGACTACATGAGGCACGTAAGAAGAATATTCAGCATTCAAATCACTGGGTCATCCCCTTCACACGTTTGTTGTCAGACTGCTCTGTTAATTTATTCCACTACTCCGTCACTCTATTAGAAATTGAGCTACTGAATAAAAGTCTGTCGTGCTCAAGCTTTAGTACCATTTAGGTTTTCCTATTCACTGCTCAAAGCCAAGCCATTGATTTTGCCAAGAAAAATAGGCGAAAAAACAGGTAGGAAAGCACATGTTTTATCTCCACCAAAGAGAGCGAGCAGAGAAAGCGATAGCAAGTCCATGTAGCCAGCAAGCGTGAAGGCCAGCACAGAAGGTGTGCAAGCAGAATACATTACCATATTTTTCAATTAAGACGACTTCTTAACCGTGCATCAATTCAATGCAAACACTTATTTGAAACTTGACAGTAATTAAAACCACAGGCTTAATTTTTTTCTGAATAAAACATTGGCAGTTTTCCCCCTACAAGATTAAGTCATACTTATGTCATGGAACCATATGTGAATGCACAAACGATAGTTTAATTATTAGTCTGCAGAAGGTAATTCATAGCAACATCAAGTTCCCACAGGCAAATAATTAACATGAGCTTCGACACTGCCATATACAATAGGTGACACCACACACAGGACATATATTACTGCACCGTACCGCAGCTTGATTTAGTGGTCTTCTGATACACAGCGTTACAATTGTTGAATAAAAACAGCAATAATTTAACATTTTATAGTTTACAAAGCTATACTCTTTATCTCACCAGTCCAGACATACACATGGTTGTTTCAATGGTGCATTCAGTGGACCAAAAACACATGTCCTTTGTTTAAGTTGGCTATGAGTAACCTGCAGCATGTGCACAGAAACTGCAGTTCGATTTTGAGAATACATTGGTGTGAACGGCAAGAGGAGGCTTGGGTCCTCTGTGTTACCCTTGCACAAAATGTAAATGCTCCATAGGAATTGCCCAAGAGCTGCAATAGAAAAGAGAGTTTTATTTTGTTCTGAGGTTACACTAAACCAAGGCGTCCCCTTGTTGCAGGCTGGATGGACACACAATGTTTTCCTTGCAAAAGTCACAGGGACTTGTCCCCATGACACCTTAGCATCACTCTCAATGCAGTAAAGACACTGTTCACTTGAAAGGCAGTCACCTCTAAGTTACTAAAGGCAAGACACCAAGAGGAGGCCTATGAACGTGAGAGCGGCAACAAGGGATACGTTTATTCAACCCAATTTGCCATTCTCACATTCAAGATGTAGATGTATTCGATTTCAAAGCTCTAAACCAAACGGAGAGAGGATCGACTTAGCTCTAAGTAAATTTTACACGTCAAATTTGGCAATGTCTCCTACCCTGTAAAAAAAACCTCTTGCCCCACTTTCATAATCTCTCTTTCAAATGTTCCTATTGGCATTGCCTTCATGCCCCCTCCCATTAAATGGATATCCTCACTTCACCAACTCCGAGTCTCCTACTCCTTTTCCACTCTCCCCTGATTGATTTTGGCCATTGTTAGTGCTCTTCACACAAGTGATAAAAAAACAAGGCTCTCAGGAAACCCTAACTGCCCTGAGTAAAAAAAAAATGGGACTTTGTGTCTTACATCTCTGGTACCTGAACGAAAAAACAGGATTCGTGATTTCAAAATGAGGGCATCCCCTGCTGAAACCCAAAAGATGTAGCAAGACAACTTAGAGTATTTGATAGTTCCAGGCACTGGTGCAGACAATTTAAAAGATCAACAAAATGCCCCAATTAAATAAAGACCCACATTTCAGGTCTTTAAAATGCCAATGTCTAAAAAATATTGGATTTCATGATCAAAACGAATTTTTTCATATGGGTATGAAATGCAAAACATATTCTAATAATATTTAGTGGAATTCAAATGCAAAAACACGAACACAAAAAGCACCAGGATTTTCTGATGTTTTTTGTGAATTATGTTAACAGCTTAAGAGCAACACCATCTTATTTGCCTTTAAAAGGATTTGAGCAGGGCACTGTCGAGCACCAATGCAATGGGACCACATGAGCAGATTCTCAAATCTTTTGAGGAACGAATACTGCTGCTGACGATGGACTTCCTAACTCCAATGGATGGGACGAAACAGATTTTGCGCTCAGGCGTGGGCCAGGGCAGGGTGTGGGGCCTCCCGGCGGCCCATCTCCTCCAGCACGCTGGCCAGCGAGTCCAGATCCCCATCCTCCTCGTGCTGGGCCTCCCACAGGTCCAGCACCACACCCGTGGGGCTCCCTCTCGTCTCGAAATACTCCAGGCACCTGCTCCACATGCACAGTGAACGCGCGTTTAGAACTACAACTCACATCCGCAATGGGAGGTGCAGTGCCAGAAGAACAGAGCACTTTTTGAGATACCTACTTTTGTTTTCACTTTTTTTCACAACGTGACAAAAAAGCATGCCAAATTTGCTCTCATCCACCTTTTAATTCCATCATTTTGACTTCGGTTCACCTTTAATAGTTGTCCTAGGTACACACATTCGGTTGTGTTTTTCAGCTGTTCTTCCAGCAAATAAAATAATTGAAAGTTACCATCCATGGGACTTTCAGGCACACTGCCATAGCATGCTCTAGTTAGGTCACAGGGCTCGCTGGAGTTTTTTTCACGACGAGAATTCCACAACGTGGGACACCAGTGGCCGCGTCTACGTCACTACACACAGCGCAAGGTGCAAGCCACTCCACACGAGTCTGTGGCCACCTGTGTATGGAGGGCAATTTTAAGTTGCATTAGTTGCTGTAGGACGAAGGGCCAGCATTTGAGGCGAATGAGCCAATTTGTTTAGTTGTACAAATACATTTTTTTTCGATTTAAAGCTTTCGTGACTGCAGGGATTCATCTTCTTGGTTTTTTCGGTAAAGTCACGTATAAGGGAAGTAATAAAATAATAAAAATAAAATGAAAAAATAAAATCGTGAGAATTATATTATTTTATTATGTTTTTATTATTTTATTACTTCCCTTCTACATGACTTTACCGAAAAAACCAAGAAGATGTACAAATACATTTCAACTACCCACATTCCGTGGATAGATATTGTACAACCCCCCACCCTCCCACCTAATATATGCACTCATTGCTAAGAGAATGCAATAGGGATATGATAGAAGTGCTACATCTGAAACATTACACATTTCCTTCGATTAGGTCACACAGAGAATTAACAGAAGCTTTGTCTGTGATCTTTATATCCCCCCAAGCACGGAAACACTTAACAATGTCTGCAAATATTGCAATCCGCTGAGAGTTAAACGAGCCAGAATTTCAACTCATATCAGTGAGAATTACTTTCGGAAACCGTTGTTTAATATTTATATCTGAAACTTTATTGTAAACATCCATACTTGCAGCAATGCGGACTGTATCAACAATGTAATATTTTTTGTTAATCGAATACTCGTTAAAAAAAATTTATATGAAACCATATTCTTCATTTTTTACAGGTGATTTCGTGCCAATATTTCACATGTTCACTGCATTTCTGTCTATCTCTAAAATGGTTATGAAACGAGCCTGGATTCACCCACTTGGTGAAACAGTCTAAACGTTACTGACGAATCACGAGTGGCCTCCACATAGGAATAATTGGGCCAGCTAGGGCAGACACCACTACAAACCATTCCTTAGTAACAGCTTCAAACGTGCAGCCACTCACCCGTGTGTCCTCTTGCCGATGTCTTCTGATACTGACTTCCAATTGACCTATCCCCAAACCTCCTCCTACTTGCATCACTGGGTCTAAAAAGGAAATAGTTCAAAACTGGCCAAGACTGATTTTCTCAATGTACTTAATTATCCAACATTTCCCCAGCAGCTATTCACTTGGGAATTGCATGCATACAGTCTTGCACTCATTGACAGGAATAATTCATCTTAAGATGATGCACCATAAAAGCACACAATTTCATTCTGTACCACTGGGTGTTTTCTGCAGGATAGTATATGCAAATAGGTCATACTGTATTGTCAGGCAAGGCTGCTCCCAAGAGATTTCTAAATTGGCAGGCTGATCCGACGAAATGTATACAAACGAACGAGAACTTTCACAGTCCAATATATTTTCAAAGCGATATGAAGTTTTTGGACGATTGCTATTTTAAGAATCCACGGCTGGTATATTGTTTTAATGAATGCATACAAAACTGACAATGGAATGCTACAGGCGTCACAAGTTGTCAGGATGTTTTGTTTCAATATTGTTTTCTCACTGTCCTTCCACTGGTCTGCACCACAATTAGTCAATCACAACATGTCTCCCAATACATCTTGTCGCTGATATTTTGAATTAATATGACAAATTATTAATCTCACAAGCAGGACACTCGGCAAATATTTTAAAACCAAGGATTAATGATGAAGACATTCAATAAAGATGATACATTTAAAGCTTGAAAGATTACACGATTGGAGATGGATGTTGATGTCTAGGTACTGACCCATCTCCTTCGAGATCCTTGGTTTGATCCAGGATCAAAGAGGGTAGATCAGTAGCCTCGTGATCAATGTGCTCAACGCTGAAACACTCTGAACAAGATTGGCAGCTCAAGTCATTCAGTGACGCCATAGAGCTTTACTAAAGAGTAGCATCTGCAAAGTGGTCATTCAACGCTCATGTAAGATATTTGTTCCATTGCCATATTTCAAATTAAAACATGCAAATATATTTCAAGGAGCTAAAGGGCAGGAACTATTTTAAGATGTTTATGCCTTCCTCACTAAACAGTTACTTACTCAGCAATATGGAAAAATATATATCAATTTACAATGATTTAGTGTCCAGAAGATATGATAAGGTACCTGATCAAGGACAAGAGCATCACTTCACACTTGCATGAACAAGACAAAAACGTTGACATTATTTGACAGTTATAACATTGATAGAGATGATAGAGATAAAGAAAACATGTATTTCAAAAATGTATGAATCACGCTGTTGGTAATGAGATAACAACATTTATGGAAAAGGAAAACAGAGCTACGTCTAAAATAACAAGCATACATTAAAAGTCAAAGCATGAGGTCTCAATAAATGAAAGCAGGAAATGAAAGAAAATACTACCTTAAATCATGAACGTAAAACAGGATAAAGTAACAAAATCAAATATAGATCGACCCAGACTTAAGCTGATCACTCAAGTGTCCTGGACTCCTAAATGGCAACGAGGAAAACACAACATCCAGCTGCATTCAGAGAAGATGAGATTCGTCCCAGACTTCATTTTTCAGCCCTGACAGTTGAAAAAAGCTCTTGTTCTCTTCCCAACAAATTGAAGGAAAATGCAATCGAGACCAAACTGCTTTACTCTGCGAAGTCCACACTCCGTCTTTAACGAACGAAAGTTGGCCTCTCTATCACCAGTAATGTACTTATGTTATTATGACATAAGATGTAAAGAATAAACTGAAATTACTGAAACCACCCGTAGAAAATATGTGTTTCATGTAAATGTACGGCTGTGTTTACCGTTATCTTACTATAAACAGCAGCCAATGCAAGGCACGTTATAAACCCTTAATTTAATTAAACATAACCATCTTTCAATGTATGCTGTGTCCTATAGAATGGTTGTACAACAAAAGCTGCATAATACATTTGTAAAACGTGAATCTGTGGGAAAAAGCTTCCAGGCCAACAGAAAAATATCGAAGCCTGTTCACATTCCATCCAGAATGACCATGAGAAGGTTATTTTATGGTTGACCCTCATACTTTCGAAGACAATTTATTTTTCTATGATAATGAATGTAGGTTAGCCAACTTCAAAGATTGGAAACAAGCCATTGTGACCCATTGCTTATAAATGTTGTTAATCAGTGGATCAATACATCTTCTCAATTAACTAGTTTTTTTTCCATTATAGGATAATTTTCGTATAGTTTTAGATACTTCTTGCTAATTACACTGTGTAACAAAACACTTTATTCTTCCTGGGTAGTGTTATTTCCTAATTGCTTATGCCTCAAAAGTACAGAAAATGGCTATTATTCCCAATAAACTTTACTTTTGTGATCAGGACAGTGATATTTTTTAATTGACCTATTTTCCAAAAAATCCCAGATAGATTCAGTGCTGAGTAAACTTGGAGTAACTTCTAGAGCATTCTAGAACTTTCCAGTAATATAAACAGTTCAATTTAGTTCCAGCTGCCGAAGTGGATACATATCTGCATTTTTATGAGATGGCATTAAGAGGCTGCAAGCATCCGGCAGACACATTTTGCTATGTCTGTGGCCAATTTATCAAGACAAGAGCGAAAACGTCCTCTTTGGAAGCATCTGCTAAGATGTGTGAGGCCTACAATGCATATTTCGGCATGCCTGTCAGGGATCAAGACACTTTTTTTTAATTGTAAACGTTTTTAATTAAAAAATGTTTTACAATTTTCAATGTGATTGAAAATAAATATCATGTATGAAAAATGTTGCGAGAATCTCTTACACATTAGTAATGGGTGAAATAAATTTATTTTTGTAGGATGGTACAGAGGGGAAAAGAGAGCCATGAAGTTCACTATCCCAAGAGTTTGGCGGGAACCCACTGACCACTCAAGCAACTGCTACTTCTGCATGTTGGACCCTTACAAACGTCGGACTGGCAAGAATGCACCTGCTATCACGTATCCGGACCTTCCTTTATCCATCGCCCCGGTGCCACACTGCCATGAACTCACCACCATACCCACTCCTCCGGATTGAGAGCGGCAAGTCAGATAGCGAAGAAGACGTAGATGCAGATGTCAATTTCAGAAGTGGAGCTGAGGAGAGAAACCCATACTACCCCACCCAAAAAGACCTCAACGACTTGATCAGAGATCTTGGTCTCACACCAAGTCCAATGCCGAGCTTTTGACGTCTAGGCTCAAGCAGTGGAACTTTTTGCAGATCAGAGGAAGCGTCACCAACCTTTTTGCAGCTTCTTCACCCGTCAAGATGGGCTCTGCTTTTGCCACAATGAGACCAGTCTGTTCGAGGCAATCGGAATCGCCTGTAACCAGAATAAGTGGCGCCTCTTCATTGACAGCTCATCCAGGAGCCTCAAAGCCATGCTGCTCCATAATGGTAACAAGTAACCGTCTCTTCCCCTGGCTCACTCAATGCACCTCAAAGAGGATTACAACGTCTTCAAGACCTTGCTGGATGCCTTGAAGTATGATGAGTACGGCTGAGAGGTCATCAGAGACTTCAAATTGGTGGCATTCCTGATGGGTCTCCAAGGCGGTTTTACCAAGTTTCCTTGCTATCTTTGTCTTTGGGACAG